CCTTGATTTTGAGAAGTTCATTGACGAATACATGTTGGTGACGACGTCTGGACTGGAGAGTTATACACATGACTGGAACAAATAACACGAAGAATTCCACAACAGAACTAATTAGAGTATGATGGCACTGAAGATTAGTTGGTATTGAATCCGAGTGCATATAACGACACTGAAATCCAATAGATAACTCGAATGAATAACGAATACGGCTGTTTTTCCCCAAGCACCTGCTTAACTGAGCCAAGAAAGATATCAGGAGATAAAGATTGGCCAGTAAAGAAAGCTTTACGAGATAAAAATGTATTATACACATACATTTACAATGCACATTAAGTAGGATATCTGGTTGTAGAAAACAAAAGGTTGTCCAATAAAATTATCATCTCCAAGCAAGATATAAAATCCTGAACCTCAGAAGCCAATGGCTTAAAATATCGATTCTAGTTTTAGTCCCTATCTATCATAAATGAAATTTATTTAAACCTACTTTTCTTTCCTTAAGCATCTAGTGGGGGCTTGAGATTTTCTGGTCACAACAGCTATGTTGTCTTTTAAGAGGTGGGGTTTCTAGCATCACGCCCAACCTTCCCTCTTTTCACAGATAGCTAGTAAACTACACGAGGTTAACGAATGCGACAGCCTGAAATCAAGTCCTGGACCATTTATGTGGTTGGCGAGGTTTCTACTACTGAACCACCGATGTTTTTATTCACTTAATCAGTAATTATCCCTAATTTATGAGGTTTGTAGGGAACAGACTAATTTCGGAGGAGTTTCCATCACTGGATCAGTATAAATTGGTGAAACGCTAAAAATCAGATTGCTGGAGATTTATTTTGTTCTATGTTGGAACCCTTAAACATTACGCATACATAATTTATCTTTCATTGAACCTGGGATGAGTAGGTTTTATGGGGAGTGCATTATTTTATTATATGGCAATTACCAGTAGAATTCTTGAAATATTCAAAATAAAATCCATGAAATAGCATAATCTCGTCTATTTAAGGATTACAGTTGTCAGTAGTTACAGTGAATAACTTTTTGTTGACCAAATTGCAATACCACGTCTATAATGTTGCTTTTATTTTCATTTGTAGTTACAAATCTTAAGGGTTTGTTCATATTTCTATTTATAATCTGTTCGAAATATCTGAAGCTGATCATTTACTATGTCAGATTCCTTCAGATAACCTGTACACTTTCTGTTCTTTATTATAATGACTAATTTTCATCTTCTACTATGCTAATTTGAAATAAAGAAGATCTGTGAATCACTCAGATTGTATTCAGTATTCTCTCAGCTGGATAATTTAATTAGGAGAAATTAAAAAGGCTTCACAATTTCGACACGCAAAAATCCATTCACCTCTAAGATGTTACCTAGTAGGGCAGTGAAAGCTTCGCAAATAAACCATCCAGCTCAGGGAACACAACTACATCAAAATCATCCACCTGAGTTACAAATCTTCTCCATTATGATCTATCTAAACATCGGACGACTAACTCGCTCGTTTGCTATTGCCAAGCTCATCAACCGTGTATCCGTTTCAAAGTTTAAATTAAATAAACCTCCTGAAATTTTATATTTGACAATACAAACTATTTTCCTTTTGATTCACAGGATATAAACAATATCTAAAGAAAGAGTTGAAGAAGCTTACAAGAAACAGTGTGTTGTCCTTTTAAAAAATATCCATTCATTTTTGTTAGTTATCTTAGAATAAATAAAAACATTTTTGATTACTCCTGATATATTTCTATTCCATTGCATAGCTTAAAAGTTAAAGAAAGAAATCCGACGTGAATAGTCCGTAAAATGTTTCCCTTTCAGTAAATAAAAATCAATGTCAGATGCATTTAATTTATGAGCCACTGACTTCCAACAAACTGTTTGGATAGTAATGTACTCATTTCTCAACTTCCAATGTTGGCGCGGTTATGATAGCATATTCCTAGAATGTCTCACATTCAAGATAAATATTTATATAACGCTTCCTAGTTTACAATAATTCTCTAACTAATTTCATTTATTATTATTATTGTATCCTTTAATTCCTACAGGAACATAGGGCTTCAACCGTGCATCTCCATTGAGTTCGGTTCTCTGCTAGAGTCTTCACCTGGCTCCATGTCTGCCCACACGCTTTCATCTCCTCTCCACATGACCTCCTCCAAGTCACCCTTGTACTGACGACCAACTCGCCGCTTCCCTTTCGGGTTCCACTCGAGCGATGGCTTGTCTAGTGATGTCACTTGATGGTTTCCTCAGAGTATGGCCAATCCATCTCCATTTCTTCCTGCCTATTTCTTTCACAATCGGTTCCTGCTGTGTTGGTTCGCTCATTGCCAGAGATCTTTGTTGCTGATCTTTTCTGGCTAGCCATCTGATTTTGAGCAAAGACAACTGTTAATGAAGGTCTGTAGTTTGTTTGAGATGCTCTTTATGACGCGCAGTGCAAGTCTCTGATCCGTATAGTGAGTAGCACTGACTGACTTCACATTGGAGTTGAAAATCCGGATCTTATTTTTGATGCTGAGAGTTGTTGACCTCCACACAGACTTGAGAGTAGTGAAAGCTTGTCTTGCTTTTCCGATTCTTGCTTTGATATCCTCGTCAGTTCCGCCTGTTGGAATATTTCTCTGTCTTGAATTAAGTCGAAAACATAACTTCCTTTCTCGAACTGATTTACTTATTATACATAGCAAAATACAATCAGGTAGTTACTGAAAAGATAAGGATAGTTGATATTAAAAGATGAATAAGGAGTGCACATTTTTCTGAGCGGTAAAATAAAACTCGAGCTGAAATGAACAAACTTAATCGAAATAAATAAATACACACTAAGTGAACCAGCAGACGCATTTACAAACCTCGCCTAGTTCACAAAGAAAGTTTGACGTGAGGCCGAAAACACCACCTCGTAAAAGCATCGATCACCACAGCTAGTGAAACTTAACAAATCCTAAAGTTTGAAGACCTTTCTTCCACTCGAAACGCATAGAATGTGGAAAATATTGACGTAGTAACCTGATAGCTTTCCACTGGTTGCCTAAGATGTTTTCGCTTATTATTTAACGAAAGCATATTGCTGCGTGTGCTAATGTTACTTCAAACTTCCTTTATGCTGTTCACTATTGGTTCGAGCATTATTCACACACAGAATCAACACACTTTCAAGTTTTTAAGAAACCTTACAAGAAGATATACGCATATATGAGTATCACTGATGAAGGTTGATCCACTGAGGAGGATCGGTCAATCCTACCTACCACCAAATATCCACCCTGAGAAGCTTAATACTAATCGCTTACTATTATGAGGTAGCGTCGAATTATTCTGGTTTCTGGAATTTAATTATTCGTTAGTAGATGGGATTACTTATAAAAGTGACAGAACACTAATTGATGTTTATCTTCTCTCAATAAAGGCAAGGGTGATTTCCGTCAAAAAGAACAACGTTTTCACTTGATCTCTAACAACCAACAGTGGTTAATTTTGCCTTACGGGGTTAGTCTTTTACATATAGCTGAAGCCATCAGAATTCACTTGAAAAAGGATAATTAATTTTTTTTCAAAAGAATTTGGTTCAGATGCCTTCCCTACCTTAGCCAGCGTTACTTGAGTGTACACGTCTGATGATTTCCACTTTCTTCCAAGCCTTTTACAAGCTATTATTGTTCTAACTACCTTTAATTGCCACATAAGATTTGTTCTTGATTTTATCTGATATTCAATTTAGTATTACTTTCAGGCACACAGACTTTTTATTAGGTGGTTAGAGGTAATCGGCAGGGAGCCTACGACCTAGGTTTTGTGCTAGTTGGCACTCACTAGTCACAGCAAGGCCTATCTGCAACCCTGAAGGAACTCATGTTCCTTCTCAGATTCAAACACATGTCACCCAGTGCTACACTTAGAGGCATTACCACTGAGTTATTCGGGCTCGCGAATGACCTCCTGCAGGACTGTATTGAATACTTTTTTATTGGACTACAAAGGACTAGGTACACTAGTTACTAACTAGTGGCCAATAAAAAAGTGCAGACTTTCTAACTGTAATTCAAATGATATGAGCTACTCGGTATTATTTCAAAAACATAATCGCTATTAATAACAATGTGTATGCATAATTGTAAAGCCAGATGACGAATTTATTGAAAAGAATATTCTTTTATCAATCTTCCCTTTCTGTCTTCTGAATGTCTTAATGGGAATTTTCGCTATAATGGACAATATGCCTTGAATTTGATTGACTTATTATACAACATTAAACCAGACTGAGTTTGTCACCGATGTAAAGTGATTTAAAATTGGGAGATTTCCCTTCTTGGCCTTATAATTAATCGGAATAAAATATTTACAGGACTTTGATTACCATGATCCACTACTAGTCTACTGGATAGATATAATTAACACACACACACACATATCATAAACTAGTTTGTTTTCCCTCAGATTAATTTGCATTACCCGTTGATTGATTACGTTGCACCGAAATGCTCGGTGTCTGTTGACACTAACCCAAAATAAAACAAGCACAAGAAGTGACCCTCACGGATAAATAAATGCCTTGGCATTTGAAATGATGATTGCAAGCTCTAAGTCTCGGTGGGAATACCATTACTCACTGGGAATACACAGATGATGAATCACAGAGAGGACAAAATGAACATCATGGACTCCCCACTGCCAATCATCAACAACTGAAATACTATATAAATTGATATTGCTTTATTTAAACAAGAACTGATAAAGTAGTAATACTAATAATATTAGCCCACATTGTACAGAAAAATATCTTTATTTGTGAATCGAAATCAAATGGTGCAGTATAAAGAAAGCAATTGAAACTATGATATTTAATGAAAATGAATTGTAAAAGTGCCAACAGCATGTCAGAAATATTTACAAATCACATAATACAAAGAGTCGTCTAGTCTTGAAACAATATTACTATTATTATTATTATTGGTGTTCGATGAGAATGTCAATATATTTAAAAAATATGCTGAAGCATAATATCATCTAATCCAATTAATTCATCACTAACTGAACAAGTTTCTTCTGAATCTGCACTGCTATTGATAGATAAACGCTTGAAATCCAGTTGTGATAATATTTGACTACCATCCAGTACAGCACATCTACACTGGCATCCGCTAACTGGACATTCTTTTAAATAACCCATATCACTTGAATCTGATGAATCACCATAGAACCATTCAATTAAATGACTTGCATGACCACCATGTCTGCAGGCTTGACACCAGACAAACCAATCAGCTATAACACAGGTTGAATTGGCCAATAATGAAGATTTTCGTGTTGATCTATTTACGTATATATATCAACAAAAAAAAATATGAATTGTGTAAATACTAATAAAAGTTAGAAGTAAAGAAAGTATTGAAATAATAACATAACCAATCTTCTTTCACTCCTCTGCATTCCACATGGAATATATAGGACTTCAAACTTGAAGCGCATTGAAGTTTCAGTAGCTGTGGTAATATTTTTACGCCTACTTTTCCAGACTGACTATTGACTAGTAAACTGGTCGGGGGTTTAGGAGTGCATTGGCCGGGAACTGAACCCCAGACCACGTGCATGGTTGGCGAGCATTCTACCACTGAAACACCCAAAACAACACAAGCATAATCGAAAGTACAGTCTATAGTTTTAAGAAAACCCCTATATAGACACATGCTGTTCCTTTTTTATGTTCTTCAATAGGAAATACAACTAACTTATAACACAATGACTATTAATCAACGAGAAACCACAAGTATAAATAAATAATATCAGATCATACCCATTGTACAAGCGATGGTTGTCATGACCTAGTAGCCCAGAGGAAAACACTTTGGTGTTTGAAACGATGACTGCTACATTCGAGTATCTATTGGAACTGGATCACTAACAAGGGAACAAGTATGCCCAGTCGACCAGTCTGGAATACAGAGAAACGGGCGTCAGGATTCCAGTGTTAGCCACTATGAAGTAGTTTTACCACAGTAACTGTTAAGAGTAGCCTTTCAAAAATAGACGCTACGCGAATATATAATGATTCGATCACAGTTCCTTTTCTAATTATGTGACATTGAATAAATGGAAATGATAAAGATTAGATTTGAGGATGTGTTGAAATCAAATCAAACCTTTTAACCACACAGTGTAATTACATACAAATTAGAGAATTTCGATTTCATTTGCAAACAAATTTTATTGAATATCTATTTAGTTTTAAGAATTTTGTCTATAGTTGTGAATTTATTTCGACTTAAAACTTTGCACTGAGGATTTTTAAAAGGTAGATATTGCGTGCATTTGTTCACTTCCTGAAAACACACTGAAATGTACAATCATGCAATTTATGACAGATACTATACACTGCTGTCTAATTTCTAGTTGAATGCTGTGAAATGCAAGTAATATGCTTCCCATTTTACCTCGAAGGAAAGCAACTGAAACCCATAAGCAGAATACTGTTCATTGAGCAGTCTGAATGAAAAATGAATATGGGACCCTGGAGGCTTCCAGAAGGCTATGTTGAGAAATTTTCTGGAACATATAAGGATAATGGCTCAGGATTACTGGGTAAAGTATTGGAATAGGGGTCCGAGCAATACCAGTCACTAATATACTCAATCTTTAAGAAATGCGAAGTATTTTGTTGTGATAATCACATATCGTACAAACCATATGGATACACATCCCAAAAAATACTAGGAACCGCAATAACAGGATACCTAGTTGCAACAAAATGGGGGAGATTAACCGACTTAAAAATCTGATTGCAGGTGCATCGACCAACCATTTACTCTCCGTCACAGCAAAGACTTCACACCGGATTTTCAACTCCAATGTGAAGTCAGTGTTACTATACGGATCAGAGACTTGCAATGCGCGTCATAAAGAGCATCTCAAACAAACTACAAACCCTCATCAACAGTTGTCTTCGCTCAATTATCAAGATCAGATGGCCAGAAAAGATCAGAAACAGAGATCTCTGGGAGCGAACCAACCAGGAAACGATTGTGCAGCATATATGCAGGAAGAAATGGAAGTGGATTGGCCATACTCTGAGGAAACCACCAAGTGATATCGCACACCAGGCCATCGCTCAAGTGGAACCCGGCCGAACGGGAAGCGGCGAGTTGGTCGTCCAAGGGTGACATGGAAGAGGTCATGTGAAGAGGAGATGAAAACGTGTGGGCAGACCTGGAGCCAGGTGGAGACTCTAGCAGAGAACCAAACGCAACGGAGACGCACGGCTGAAGCCCTATGTTCCTCTAGGAATTAAAGGAAATAATAATGATAATACAACAAAGACACATTTACCACCTACTGTAGCTGTTACTTTTTTGACTTGATGGCGAGTATTTAAAACCACAGACTGAGAGGTTTAACGATAGGGCTTCATCCCTTAAATACATGTATATCCTAAAACACTAATGATTGCTTTACAGTATGTAGTGGTCTTTTTTGGGTGGTATGAAAACCCAGTTACCTTCTTTGAGAAACGCAAATAAACAAGGTAATTTGATTTCCTGCTAGTAGACAAAGATTTATTTTGGTTGGTTAGGAGTACGAGAAAATCGCAGTATCATTAAGTGAAGATGAAATCTGGTGAACTTTTTTATCAGCAATCTAAAAATTTTAGAATGCGTTTCCTTATTCCTGTATGTAAACTGTTGCTTCACAAACGATCTAAGATTATACATCCTTTGACAATCAGGTGTTAAATGATGAAGAGTACTGACTACTTCGCAAACATGAAAATTGCCATCTGCCTTGAGAGTTTAACGGTTGGATGACATTTGGGCACATATATGAAAGGTTTATCTGACTTTTATATCGTATATCAATCCAGGGTTGCTTTGATTACTAAAATGTTCCACTCGGTCGTACAGTAGGCCGCGGCAATCTCTGCTTTCAGGCTACCAATATAGAAGTTGAACACAAAGTTGGCTAACAGAGTTATAAATCTCTATCAAAAGAGGTAGCTACAACGTGTGTAACGTTCACCTCAAAGTGCTATGGTATTCAAAGTAGAATCATATTGGAACACAGCTAAGGTTGGTCAAACTAAGACATATTGTGGTGAGAGCTGTCTGCTAGCCCAAATTGGTAGACAGCGATTGACATCAATGTTTACTTCCCAAATCTTGGTTATGAGAAAAAAACAAGAACAGAGACTTTGTGTGGGCGGATATGAATCGCAGAAACATGGCCACAAAGAGGTGACAGATTAAGTTTCAGCGAGAAAATAACCAATCAGAAGACGCTGTTTCTCTGCTAGTAATAACAAATAATAATGTATATAAAAATATATAAATATCTCTTGATTTCCTCAATAAACGATCTGTTGCCTGGCCCTTGTCTTCTGTCGTTACAACTTTATCAAGGTATAACTTCACTGACAGGTGGTCTGAATTGTAGACTATCTGGCTAGGATACGAATATATAGTTAAAGACATCAAGTACATTACTCTTATATCTTGGTTTTATTACATGTTTTATTCCCTTCATATTCCCCTCGTTTTGTCCTACAGTAATATGCATAGTCCGATTACAGTACACAATTATAAGGTGTAACAATGCGAACCACTAAATAGCTATGCTAGACAACGTTACGTTATTTATCTCCAAGTTCAGTTTCTCCAAGAATGTGTAATGCAGGTCATATTCTAATGATACGAATGGATTATAATCGAAAAGGATACGGGTAGATGTAGGATAAACAAGTGGGTTGTGCATGAATGTATAGTGAAAAGTAGTGTGAATGAAGATCGGCAAATTTGACAGATTTTGGATTATAGCAATTTGAGTCCTAATATACCTCATATTCTGGTAAAGAAAGCTGTACACAGAGATATAGTGACGTGACTTAACTTCTGCTAAAATCTTAAACAATAATTTGTAAATAACACAGATGCATAGCAACTGGAAAAGTAACATTTTGATTCAAGTGCGTCGGTGGCACAATGGTTAGGACTCTCGCCGACCATGCACATGGTCCGAGGTTCGATCCCCCACCGACGCACACCTGATATCAATGGTCGGCCTGCAAAATTTGGGCTACCGATATCACATGCTGAAAATTTCATACTTGTACCAAAATACTGTATGGAATCAAGCTATAATACAATATATATAAAAAATATAAAATATAAATATAACTACCGAATGGACATAAAAAGTAATACATGAAACTCCTGACTATTGATTAAAAGTGAACAGTAATAACATCGTGCGTCAGTGGTTCATTGGTGGAATGCTCACCAAATACGCATGTGGTCCGGGTTCAATTTCCGGTTGACACACTCCTAAACTTCCCTCAGTCGGTTTCGAGTGAGGCTCATGACTCCACCCTGTGAAAAATACACTACAGCTACTGAAACTTACAAGCTTACGCTTAAAGCTCTGTGCTCCAATCGGAATGCAAAAGAATGAAGAAGAAGAACATCTTATGTGAACAAGGTGGCTAAGTCAACTTACATAGAAATGAGATTTGCAGAAAGAAAGAAAAAGAAGCTTAACTTACGAGTATAGATTTTTCTGGTTATTTTTATTCCCAGTATCTGCAGGTGGTGGGACTGTTGCACCTGTAATACCAATCTGCATAGCTTTTACAAAGTCTACTGATAATTTTGGTGCTGATGTTAAAGCGATTTGTCGGAGCATTGATTCACCTCTACTACCCGTAGATATCCTCATAGATTCATTCGAAGGAATTGATGTACCTAAATGCATTAAGCATATCGAACATCTAGGTAGAGGTTTTCTACAGTGTTGACAGATTGTTTGCTTACCACCACCACCATGCATTTGTAAATTAGAGGCTGTAGAAGAGCACGATGTCTCAATGATAGATGAACTAGTAACGACACCAGCAGTAGAAATGTTATTGGCTTGGGTGCTATTTCCACTGGCGCTTGTACCACTGCTACCAGCAGATCCCAATGATGATACATTCACTTTATTGCTCTGAGGTTCTAAACGCCAACCACAAAAACCACAGGCAACGAACACCTAGTGAATAAAAAATATTTACAAGCAAATATTTACTTCTCAAAAAATATTATTAGAAATGCAGTACTCATGAGAAAATTTGTCCCGACTGCAGTAACAGTCCATCACATGAGTCAGCTTTATACCTTAGTCACAATAATGAATTTTTGTGTATAACCTTGGAAAAATCAACACATTTAATGGACTAGTAAATGAGTTAGGATTATTTCCAGTTTGATGACAAAATGACTTCAGTTAGGGAATCATTTGAAACAAGGAAGCTGTTTCGTCCCTGTTGGGGGTTCCTCATCAGCGCGCGCCCATGATCCCACTAGGGATCGAACCCAAGATTTTCAGAGTACAAGGCAAGCCCATTGATCATTTAACCACCGAGACAGAAGCCAAAGGTACATCGGTTCTAACTTATGCTTTTCATCAGTTCTCTAAATGGAGTCACTTCGTGATCAAACTTGAAATAAGTCGAATCCCTGAGAACCAACACTGGAAAATCAGAACTGTACCTAATGAGGGGAGAGACTTAGAGCTTAGTAGAGACTACTAGCCACACCAACGTGATCTAAACACCGGACAGTAGTTGCGCTTATTTACAGGCGAATTCATCAGTCAAGTATTCCGTTTAGCTCAACTTAGAAAACCCAGTCAGTTCAAGTTATCCGAATTAAGGTTAGCTACTATGGTTAACCGGTATTAGAATCAAATCCAAAATCTGTAAGTTGCACAGTTCGAGGTGAAAATTACCCACGATTTCCCTTAGAAACAAAAAAAGTACTCAGGTCACAATAGGTGGTCTCAGTGGCGCAAATGCATCCACTCCTTGTGACTCATGATTTCCAATGAAACTGTTTTGTTCTTCGTTATTACTATTCCTTTGTTTCACACGTCTCTTTACTGTCTATACTATGCATTTCTCCTACTTTCTTCTCTTGCTTTGTGTGCTGCACGGAGTGTGGCGACTTGAACTGCCGCACATATGTGCAAAGTTCTATGTCGAAAACCGACCGACCGAGGTGGTCTTGATACCATATATGGAAATCGAGAAAGAAAGCAACTACTTATATGGATCCGATTGACAGTCAAAGAATCCATATTGTATGAGTTTATGCGACATAATATACGGTGACATGGTATTAATGGATGACATTTCTAGTGAAATGTATTGCCCATAATCATTTCAGTATATTCACATGGTTCTCTAACTTCATCCATATCGTTTTAATCCCTAGTGTCTTTTAATGCAATTTCGTACTTATTCGCAACAGATGTTGGATCATTTTGAGTGCAGGTATTTGGTATTGGTGTTGATTCAATAAGCAGAGATTCAGTGATTAACCTTGCTCTCCCTCCATCTAACTATATTACTTTTTCCCTTTCCCATCATATTGCATGATTATTTGCAAGTGCATGCATACCAATGGTCAAGCTCTTTTCTAGATAACTTAGCGGGGTTAGTCATGCGATGTTTCAGCAACCCAACTGACCCCGATCTGTTTTTGTCACTAAACTTGATTGTTCTGCGATTAAAACATCTGACTTATTATAAATTATACTATTCAACAACATATAAATAATAGGGAAGGGGAAACTAAATTAATATAATCCTTTAAAACGAAATTGGAATGTATGAACTTCCAAATATAATATTTAATAAACAAATTCACTTACTTGATTAGCACCAGCTACTAATCCAATACTTCGAACTTTAACGCCATATAGCGTATTAGTGGCACTCGATGTGGAAGCATTGCTAACAGTAGGACTACTATTACTATTCATGTGATATGTTTGAAGTAAGATGAAAGTGAGTATGTCACTAATTGATAACTAGACAATAAGCTTTCATCTATTACGTAATCAATAAAAATAACTAATATTTAGAAACCTATAAGCGAATCTAGGATAGACTGATAAAATTAATTACAGGCTACACAATGATATCTAATGTAATTTGAAAATTCACTTCTTTAATCCTGTTTAAAAGAGCTTAAATAAAGAAGAGCAAAGCTCTTGAAATGACGTATGCTCACTTTAACTAGTGAAATAAAAATAGGAGCACAGAAGAATTTAGAGCATTTGTAGATGTGAAGTAATAGAATACCAAACCGAAGAATAAATAAACCAGTTAGCTGGTGGGTTGATTTAAAACAGCGAACATATCAGAAATCGTGTACACAAAATTGCTGAAAAAAATAGATCCATGGTTTCGACAGGGAAGAATGTTATGTGCTAAACACAGACCGATAAACTGTGTCTCATGTTATTCAGTGTAATTAGTATAAAATCTTCTTAGGAAAGACGTTGGTTTAGATTTTACAACTGCACAAGAAAAGTCATGACAAGTGGGTTCACTGAACTGGATATGGGAAAAGATATTTACTGATAACATTGGCTGAAAGCCTAGTAACCGAATGTTATATGTGTTCTTCACATAGCCCAAGGCTCCTACCTTTGGTGTGGTAGTGGGTGTGCAGTGCTGAAAACTGCTTAACTAAGACTAAATAGGTAGTTGTCCAGTGTTCCTTGATTTTGAGTAGTTCATTGACGAATACATGTTGGTGACGACGTCTGGACTGGAGAGTTATACACATGACTGGAACAAATAACACGAAGAATTCCACAACAGAACTAATTAGAGTATGCTGGCACTGAAGATTAGTTGGTATTGAATCCGAGTGCGTATAACGATACTGAAATCCAATAGATAACTCGAATGAATAACGAATACGGCTGTTTTTCCCCAAGCACCTGCTTCACTGAGCCAAGAAAGATATCAGAAGATAAAGATTGGCCAGTAAAGAAAGCTTTACGAGATAAAAATGTATTATACACATACATTTACAATGCACATTAAGTAGGATATCTGGTTGTAAAAAACAAAAGGTTGTCCAATAAAATTATCATCTCCAAGCAACAAAATAAATATAAGTCGAGATACAAAATCCTGAACCTCAGAAGCCAATGGCTTAAAATATCGATTCTAGTTTTAGTCCCTATCTATCATAAATGAAGTATTTTCACCTACTTTTCTTTCCTTAAGCATCTAGTGGGGGCTTGAGATTTTCTGGTCACAACAGCTATGCTGTTTTTTAAGAGGTGGGGTTTCTAGCCTCACGCCCAACCTTCCCTCTTTTCACAGATAGCTAGTAAACTACACGAGGTTAACGAATGCGACAGCCTGAAATCAAGTCCTGGATCATTTATGTGGTTGGCAAGGGTTCTACTACTGAACCACAGATGTTTTTATTCACTTAATCAGTAATTATCCCTAATTTATGAGGTTTGTAGGGAACAGACTAATTTCGGAGGAGTTTCCATCACTGGATCAGTATAAATTGGTGAAACGCTGGAAATCAGATTGCTGGAGAGTTGTTTTGTTCAATGTTGGAACCCTTAAACATTACACATACATAATTTATCTTTCATTGAACCTGGGATGAGTAGGTTTTATGGGGAGTGCATTATTTTATTATATGGCAATTACCAGTAGAATTCTTGAAATATTCAAAATAAAATCCATGAAATAGCATAATCTCGTCTATTTAAGGAGTACAGTTGTCAGTAGTTACAGTGAATAACTTTTTTGTTGACAAAATTGCAATACCAAGTCTATAATGTTGCTTTTATTTCGTTTGTAGTTACAAATCTTAAGGGTTTGTTCATATTTCTATTTATAATCTGTTCGAAATATCTGAAGCTGATCATTTACTATGTCAGATTCCTTCAGACAACCTGTACACTTTCTGTTCTTTATATTATAATGACTAATTTTCATCTTCTACTATGTTAATTTGAAATAAAGAAGCTCTGTGGATCACGCAGATTGTATTCAGTATTCTCTTAGCTGGATAATTTAATTAGGAGAAACTAAACAGGCTTTACGATTTCGACACGCAAAAATCCATTCAGCTCTAAGAACACAATAACACCTAAAATTCAGTATATTTAAAAGCTTTGGATTATCATATAACGATTGAAACGTATTAAAAATTCCTTCTGTTAACTAAATACATAATTTTTTTCTTGAAATTATCAAACCGATTTCTGTAAGGCACTAAATGAATGCGTAGTAAAAAGTCCATGTGAGAAATGTTCAGAAGTTTTACTACAGATTTCATCACCTATAGAACTGATGAAAATCATGGACTACTGTTCTGTCTTGCTTCGGAGACTCATCAAGGGTACGCTCTGGGGATTAAACCTAGGACCATCATGTTACGTGACGAGTACGTTTCTATTCGAATGCTGGGACTGAAATCCAGTGGCCTATGAATGGTAGCTGTTATCAATTCACAATATAGAGCCTCACCACAGGCAATGTCATATGCGAGTACATGTATCTGGTTAACCGTATCAACCATTATTTTTCCCTCAAACTCAATCAGGCTGTTTTCATTTAATTCCCCACAAACCAACCAACCTTTGACACTTAGAATTCTACAACTACATTTGTTACAATCAAGAGACCACTTCAGATGCATAAAATTAATTTTTTTAAGTACTGTGTCCGGTCAAATTCAGCACTTAACTGCATATATTTGAGTCTCTGGAGAAAATCTAGAAATACTGCGAATCGACTTTTATTTAAATTTTCTTCTATAGTTCTTGTTTGAAACAGACTTATTTATGGTCAACATTACAAAATGGATTGATCTGGGGTTTTATGACAAACGCTTCTATTAGTAGAAGTAAACCTGAATGTAGCATCATACATATCTCACCACAGCATACAGAGTGAATTCCTCTCCCTAATCTTACCGAATCAAATAATCTCTAAGTGTTTATTTCACTTATACGATTTTCATCCATAGTATCCTGCTCTGTAGAGATCAGCTTCAGCTCTAGTCAAAAAAGAATAAGTCATTCTTACAATAAGGTAAAGATCCTCAAGATCACTAGTACACGTGTTAACTAGCAGCGACATCAACTGTAACCGTAGAAGACGAAAGACTTGGTAGAGGAATGTTTATTAGCAATTTGATATTTCTATACAGCGAAATTATGTA